GTCAGATCTGATCTGACGGTAAACAAAATAATAATTAAAAAAAAAGAAAAAAATTAAAAAAACAAAAACCCAAACCACAAAAATCAGTGTATCATGAGATACATATTTGATGCCAATCTCTGAGAGACCTGCCTTCCCTGTCCACACTGTGTCCACAGTTACACAAAGAGGTTGCTACAGAGAAAAGATGTGTCCAGAGGTCCTGGGTTTTGGGAGGTTAGGGACACAGGACAGACTTGTCCCATAGGACACAGCCCTGGTTTGCCTACCTGTCAATGAAGGTCAGGATTTCTCTGAGCATCAGTGTGGACACTCTTTCCTCCTTCATGGGCTGCTGGACGATGTCATGGTTTCTCATGAGGATGCAGTTCCAACGGCGAGTGAAGCCATAGCTGGAGAACCAGGCCACAAAGAAGAGGACAGCCACCAGGGTCAAGAGCACAATGATACTCCAGGGCACAGGGAACCAGCCGGCCAGCCTGGGCACCAGGAGCAGCACGGGTAGTACGGCCAGGGCCGCCGTGGACAGCCACAGCTTCCACCTCAGCCCAGGGTGCAGCTCTGACCCACTGCCCGGCCGGCAGTCTCTCAGCAGGCCTTGAGGGGGGCCGAAGAAGTAATCGAAGCCGTGGTTGAGAGGGTGAGAGCAGTGGTCATCTCGGGTGGCACAGTTCAGGCCTAGGTGCCACTTTCCTGCCAGGGCAGAGAAAGTGGACAAACAGCTGGTTAAGGAAATGACATGTTAGGGACCCACGAAGCAACTCAAAGAAGACAGGGCCCAGGTGAAATGAATGAACGTAACAAAAACTATCAAGACTAAGACAGGATAAACATTACATAAAAGTAGTTATTGCTGTTGGGCTGGACCCCTGGGAACCACAGATCTGAACCCCGGCCTGGCCTGGCCTGCCCTCTCTGACAGGCTCCAGACCATGTCTGTCATCACTCTATCCATCCATCTCATACTGGGTCTTCGTCTCTGTCTCTTTGCCCTCCACTTTCCCAGGCTGAATGTCCTTCTCTAAGGCCTGACCCCTCCTGACCACATGCCCACAGTGTGTGAGACCAAGTCTCACCATCCCGGCCTCCAAGGAGAACCCTAATTGCACGTCCTGCAAGTTATATTTGTTTATTCTCTTGACCGTCTGTGGGATGTTCAGTGCTCTTCTCCAACACCGCAACTCCAAAGGACCCATTCTTTTTCTGTCAACCTTATTCTGAAAGTTGGAAAGCTTTCTGGTTTATAGCAAGCAAGATAAAACAAACGAACAAAACAACAACAACCACAAAAAAAAACCCAGTGTGGCTTGCATCAGGTGCACCTTAGTCTTTAAACTGACTTCATTGCTCTCAGGTACTTTGGAAAGAATAAAATAGATGAGTGTAGCAAAAAAATGAGAGTAAAATAAATAAGTGTAGCAAAAAATAACAGAGGACAGAGATACAAAGAATGAGGAATAAAAAATGGAACAGGGAACATGAAGGAGTGTAGAAAATAAAATAGATACGATAAAAAGAAATGATTGTAACATAAAGTAAATTATCCTGACATCAATGGACATGGCAAAACCAAAGTAACAGATAAAATAAATTAATGCAGTGGAGATACATGGCCAAAGTAAAATAAACTGGGGTGAATGAAATCAAGTCACAGAAATAAAATGTGAGTATATCGCAAATGAAATAAAATGGCATGACATTAAATAAGATAATAAATTTACTAACATAGCCAACTAAAGAAGAATAAACTTATGTAGACAAGTTTATGGAGCACAGATAAAATTAGTATGGCATAGATAAAACAAGTGAATGCAACAAATTAATAGGCATAGGTCCAATAAAGAAATGTGACATAGAAAAAATAAATTATCGTGGCCTGTTATTGTTGTTGTTATGTGCCATCAAATTACTGTGACTCATTGCAACCTTCTGTACAACAGCCCTACACCCTCCTCTCTCCTGTGCCAACCTCACTGTCTCTGACACACCCACTCTGAAGACCCCAGTCACTGAATCAGTCCATCTCATTGGGGGTCTTCCTCTCCTGCACTGTCTCTCCACCCTTGCAAGCATGATGTCCCTCTCCAAGGACCGGTCTCTCCTTACAACATGTCCAAAGTATGTTTGATGAAGCTTCAGAATCTTTGCCTCCAGGGAGCCGTCCAGTTTAACCCTTTCCACGATGAATCTGTTTGTTTTCCTAGCACTCCATGGTACCCTCAATACTCTTCTCCAGCATCACAGCTCAAAGGCATCAATTCTCCTTCTATCCTCCCTAGTCATTGTCCAGGTTTCTGATGCATAACAAGAGATTGCAAAGATCATGGCCTGCATCAGGTGGACCTTAATCTCCAGACTGATTTCGTTGCTCTTCAGCACTCTAGAGAGAGATCCCTACCAGCAGACTTTCCCATCGCAATATGTCTCTTTTTATGTCCTGACTGCTGGTCACAGCATTTGGTAATACAACATAGCCAGGCATAAGTAAAATTAGCTAACATGTGTAAAATTAATTCATAAATTGCAAATAACATAAATAAAATAAGCATACTAAAAATAAACCAACATATATGAGGCATTAAAATGAGATGAAACAAAATCAATGTAACATGCATAAGATACAACAATGAGAGGAAAGGAAAAAAAGAACATAAATTAAGATAAATAGGATGGATAAAATGAAGAGCAATGATGTCACTTTAAAGACTAGGGTGTGCCCCTCCAAACCGTGAATTTTTCAATTGTTTCCTATGCATCTGAAAGTTGAGCAGGGAGTTTAAAAGACAGAAGAAGAAATACAGGACAGGGCTCAGATCTGTGCCTCACAAGATCACTAGAAGTTATCATCATCTTGCTGTCACCTCGGAACAAACACCAACGTTCTTGCAAATAGGGACACATTACCCCCCCACTTCTGGGCCCAGAAGTTCACATACCGATGAGTCCTGTCCTGTATCCACGATGCTGCAGCAATTTGGCAAACGTCGTTTCGTTGGTGGGAAGGCCCCCTGAGCCCCCCAGCCAGGGCAGGACACGGTTCAGGTTGGAGTCGGAAGCCATTCCTAAAATACGCAGAAGGCAAACAGATGGAACCCAGAAAACCTAGACAAGGACATTATCTGATTTACAGCCACCCTGTCCAGAGTATGTCAGATGAAGTTTCAGAATCCTTGCCTCCAAGGAGGCACCCGGTTTAACCCTTTCCAGGACAAATCTGTTTGTTTTCCTAGCAGTCCATGGTATTCTCAATACTCTTCTCCAGCACCACAGCTCAAAGGCATCCATTCTCCTTCTATCCTCCCTAGTCATTGTCCAACTCTCTGACGCATAGCAAGTGATTGCAAAGACCATGGCCTGTATCAGACGCACCTTAGTCTCCAGAGAGCCACCATTGCTTTTCAGTACACAAATATATATTTATCAACTTTCATTCCCTTTTGAATCCCAGAACATTTAATTGTGTTAATGCGAAACCTATGCTTGGACCAAGAGACAGTAGTCAGAACAGAGCAGGGTAACACTGCATGGTTCAAAATAGGGAAGGGTGTACGCCAGGGATGCATCCTGTCTCCGTACCTTTTCAACATGTATGCAGAGCAGATTATCCGAGAGGCTGGGCTCTATGAGGAGAATTGTGGCATCAGGATTGGTGGAAGGTCTATTAACAATCTGCATTATGCAGATGACACAACTCTGCTTGCTGAAACTGAGGAGGACCTCATGCACTTGCTGCGAAGGGTCAAGGACTGCAGCCTTCAGTATGGACTGGGGCTCAATGTCAAGAAGACAAAGATTCTCACCCCTGGACCAATTGGCAGCATCAGGATGGATAGCGAAGAGATTGAGATTGTTCACAGCTTCAGTTTGTTTGGCTCCATGGTCAACAGTCTTGGCACCAGCAGTCAGGAAATCAAAAAGCATATCACGATGGGAAAGTCTGCTGTTAGGGACCTCTCTAAAGTACTCAAGAGCAACGGTGTCTCTCTGGAGACTAAGGTGCGCCTGATACAGGCCATGGTCTTTGCAATCACTTGTTATGCATCAGAGAGTTGGACAATGATTAGGGAGGACAGAAAGAGAGTTGATGCCTTTGAGCTGTGGTGCTGGAGAAGAGTATTGAGAATACCATGGACTGCCAGGAAAACAAACAGATTCATCTTGGAGAGGATTAAACCAAGCTGCTCCTTGGAGGCAAGGATTCTGGGGCTTTGTCTGACATACTTTGGACATGTCAGGAGGGACGGGTCCTTGGAGAGGGACATCATGCTTGGGAGGGTGGAGGGACAGCGCAGGAGGGGAAGACCCTCTATGAGGTGGATTAACTCAGTGACTTGGGTAATCGGGATGGGAGTGTCAGAGGCAGTGTGGTTGGCGCAGGATAGAGCAGGGTTTAGGGCTGTTGTGCATAGGGTCGCTGTGAGTCACAAACGACTCGACGGCACATAACAACAGCAACATATCCTTCCTATTTTCTCAGCCAGGTGCTTATCTCCCAACCTCACCCAGGAGACCAGTCCCACTTACTTCTCATAAAGGGATGGCGTGGTGCCTGCTATTTGAGCTGCTACCTCTAGGACTTCTTCCCCTTTTTATGAAAAGGATTGATTACAACACCAAGGGTTGGGCAGAGAGAGGGAGAGAGAGACAAGGGGAGAGGAGAGGAGAGGAGAGAAGAGAAGAGAAGAGACAGAAAAGAGGGGGGGAGAGAGAGAGAGAGAAGGGGAGAGTAAGAGAAGAGAAAAGAGAGAAAGAGAGACAGAGAGAGAAGAGCATAGGAGAGGGAGAGAGAGAGAGAGAAGAGAGGGAGAGAGAGGAGGGAAGAGAGAGAGGAGAGAGGAGCAAAGATAGAAGAGAGAGAGGAGAGGGATATGAGAGATAGAGGGAGAGAGAGAGAGGAGGGAGAGAGAAGAGAGGAGAGAGAGAGGAGAGTGGTGAGAGATAGAGGGGGAGAGAGAGAGAGAGAAGGAGAGAGACAGAGAGAGGAAAGAGAGACACACAGAGACAGGAGAGAGAAGATAGAGAGAAGAAAGGGAGAGAGAGAAAAGAGAAGACACACACACACACACACACACACATACACACACACAGGGGTAAGTGGTCCAGATAGACAGCACCACCCTCATGTCAATTTGGATTTACCCCCTCCATCCTGCAAACCCGAGACCTTCGAACGAGGCAGCAACCGACTGGAGAAAGAGAACTCCAAGTATTTCATCTGACATGAGAAAGAGCTCCCGTGGCCTAGCAGTAAAGAACGGCTGTGCAATCCCAAAGGCACGCAGTTCGAATCCACCAGCTGCTCTGCGGGAGAAGGATGGACCATCTCCTCTCTCCTTTGACTTACAGCCTCTGAAAACCCGCTGTGGGTCAGTTCCAACCACAGCAAACAATTAAAAAAATGAGGGAAAAATAGTAGTAAGGTTGAGATGAACTAAACGCAGAAAACTGGGAAAACCTGGAAAAACAAGGCTCGTTCCTCCAGCCCTGATTCTGAATTTTCCCCCTGCCAACCTTTTTGAGAGTTCCTAAAACACGTTGCTATACACATATGTGTTGGAAATACACACACACACACACACACACACACACACACACACACACCCTAGGGGGTTCTGGATTCTGTCTCTCTCACCTGAGCGGATGGGGTACCGTCCGGTGAGGAAGGCAGCTCTGCTGGGGGTGCACACAGAGGCGGCCGCCAGGTGCTGGGTGAGCCTGACGCCCTCGCTGGCCAGGCGGTCAATGTGAGGGGTGCTGGGGACAGAAGGGACATGCTAAAGACCAAATCCCACACACTCAAGTCCAACCCACATCCTTCCATGTTGGGTTCTGAGCCCTATACTTCTAACACTCATAGCCAAGCCCATCCTCAACATTTCGAGCTACCTGGATGCCACTGCAAAGCTTTGTATAGAAACATGCATCCACGTCTCTGGTATCCACACTTTCCCTTTGAGCCCCGAAGGCTCCCCAATGCATTATATATTACTACATGCAAATCCTTGGAGAGCGACATCATGCTTGGGAGGGTGGAGGGACAGCTCAGGAGAGGAAGACTCTCTATGAGATGGATCGATTCAGTGACCGGGGCAATCGGGATGAGAGAGTTGGAGACAGTGAGATTGGCACAGGACAGCAGGGTTTAGGGCTGTTGGACACAGGGTCACTATGAGTTGCAGGCGACTAGACGGCACAAAACAACAACAATAACACGCAAATAAAATGATCCGGTTGACTTCAGATGGTCTTCCCAGCCATCTCACAAACGTTGGTCATGTGGTCAGAAAGGACCAGTCCTTGGCGAGATGAGGGAATAATAAGAAGGTGAGAGACCGACAGAAAGACCCTCCTGGGACCTATAGCACATCTAACACCAATGTTTGATTGATTTTGTGGCAGTGGAGAAGTCAGGACTGGACAAGGCTTGATTTCAGGGCATGACCTCCTGTGACACCTGCTTTAGGATGGACCGAGGTAAGAGTGGAGGGACAGTGGGGCCTGGTCACACACAGGTGGGACAACTGTGTCTTGTCCGTATTTACCTGACGGTGGTATTCCCATAACAGCAGAGATCTCCCACCCCGAGGTTATCCGCCATGAGCAACACAATATTGGGTCTGGAATTCCTGGTGACCACCGCTCCGTTGGCCTTTGCAAGAAGACAACATAGCCAGAGGCTCAACCAGACGTTCCTAAAGGCATTTGGGAAGGTGGGAGGGGAGGGGACAAAGAAAAAAAATCAGATTTCCAATGAACGTGTTCATCGGACACAGCTTAAACTACGAGAATATGGAAAATGTGGCTTTGAGAGGTGGGAAAGTGGATTTCGAACCACGGTGTGTTCCACGCACAAAATTCCCCATGGCTACCATTGAAAAGGGGCTCAGAGTGTGTCAGGGAGGGTGAGGTGGCTACGGTCTGGATGTGTTGTTCGCATGGACGTTATGAGTCATATTCAACTTGACAGCAAATAATAATAATAAAAATTAAAATTAAAAAATAATAATAACTTAGAGTGTACAACGGTACCACTGCCATCAAAAGCAACTCAATGGCAAATAATAATAATAAAAATTAAAATTAAAAAATAATAATAACTTAGAGTGTACAACGGTACCACTGCCATCAAAAGCAACTCAATGGCAAATAATAATAATAAAAAATGATAATAATAACTTAGAATGTAAAACAGTGCCACCACCGTCAAAAGCAGCTCTACGGCAAATAATAAAAATGAAAATAAATAATAACTTGGAATGTAAAATGGTGCCCCCACCACCAAAGGCAGTTTGGTGCTTCCTCAGAAAAGCTGAGACACTAGAAATACTATCGTACCCACACACATGAACCATACATCCCAAAGTCGTACGAACAGATACGTAACGTTACCTACATGTACACACGTTGATTGAAGCATTATTTACAATAGCAAAAGGTTGTCAACAACCGAAGCATCCATCAGGAAATACCTATCTATGTATGACTGCTGTCTAGAGAAACACCAATGAGGCAACAGCTAAAGGAAACAATGGTACATTTGCCCAGTGGAGTACTACGCAACACTGTAAAAGGATGAGGCCCTTCTGAAACACTGCACCTCACAGATGAAAGTTGTTGTTGTTGTTGTTGTTGTTATGTGCTGTGGAGTCGCCTGCGACTCATAGCGACCCTATGTACAACAGCCCTAAACTCCACTCTGTCCTGTGCCAATTGCACTGTCTCTGACACTCCCATCCCAATTCTCCCAGTCACTGAATCAATCCACCTCATAGAGGGCCTTCCTCTCCTGCGCTGTCCCTCCACCCTCCCAAGCATGATGTCCCTCTCCAAGGACCGGTCTCTCCTCACAACATGTCCAAAGTATGTCAGACGGAGCCTCAGAATCCTTGCCTCCAAGGAGCCACCCGGTTTAACCCTCTCCAGGACGAATCTATTTGTTTTCCTAGCAGTCCATGGTATTCTACGTAATCAAAGCCCATCCAAAAAGGGTAATTGTAGTGTAAGGCCACGAATACCAAAAACTACAGAGAGGTAGACACACAGACAGAATCCTTCTTGGAAGAATATCAAGGAGGAGGAGAGAAGGGAGCAAAAACCAAATAAATTGTAGGAAAGAAAATATATAGATATAGAAGATATAGATATAGAAATAGATATAGATATAGATATAGATATAGACATAGATATAGACATAGATATCAATGATATAGATGATACTGATGATATCGAAGATGATATCGATGATATAGAGATAGACATAGACATATAGATGATAGAGATATAGATGATAAAGAGATAGAGATAGATAGAGATAGAGATAGATAGAGATAGAGATAGAGAGAGATAGAGACAGAGACAGAGACAGAGATAGAGATAGATGATATCTAGATAGAGATAGAGACAGACAGAGATAGAGATGATACAGATAGAAATGACAGAGATAGAGACAGAGACAGATAGAGATGAAAGAGATAGAGATAGAGACAGAGATAGAGATAGAGATGATGATAGAGACGATAGAGATAGAGATAGAGATGATGATAGAGACTATAGAGATAGAGATGGTAGAGATAGAGATAGAGAGATAGAGATAGGTAGAGAGATAGAGATCTGGTAGAGATAGATATTCATTGTTGTTGTTGTTAAATGCTGGGGACCCGGTGAACGACAGATCTGATCTGTGTTCCATGCTGCGCCGTCCTCACCAAGGCAGACACACTGAACCCATCGCTGAAGTCACTGTGTCAACCCATTTCATGGAAGGTCTGCCTTTCTTGCTGAATGTCCATCTGTCGAGCATTATGTCCCTCTCTAAGGACTGGCCCTCTCTTAGCAACATGCTCAAAGGACGTGAGATCAGGTCTCCTCATCTTTGCCTCCAAAGAGCACTCTGGCTACATTTTCCCTTTAGACATAGCTGTGTGTTCTTTTGTCTGAACCTGAGATATTCAGTCCTGTTGTCCAGCACAAAGACATCCATTCTTGAAGTCTTTCTTATCCAGCGTCCAACTTTCACACACAGAGCAAGTGAATGAAAAAGACCGATAGCTTAAATCAGGTGCACCTTCGTCTTTAAACTGACATCATTGCTCTTCGCATCTTCCTTAGTCACGGTCCAGCTTTCACACTACATAGCAAGTGAGTGGAAAGGTCAAATGGTCTTCTCACATTGTGGGAAGCCAACTATCAAATTTAACATTAATAATACACCAAATGCTTTATCAGGACCCAGCTTAAATTCCTTCACGAGGCTTGGGGACGGGAGTCTCCCTCCAATCTGGAAGTCAGCTGGCAAGCCAGGCTTGGTGGCTGCCAGGCAAGGAAAGATATAGATATAGGAGTATATAGACATATCTGGGGTCTTTTGCACTGTGTGTTAACTGTTCTTTTGGGCTTTCAAAGCCACATGGGGGGCCCTGATCCTTAGAGTTACCCACGATGGACAGTATTTGGTGGAGCTTCCCGATTAAAACAAGCTTGGAAGCAGGAGTGGCATCCACTTCCGAAAGAGCTTGCCTCCGGAAACCCTATGAACCTGGAGAAAAGATCAAAGTTATACACGTGTCCGGGTATTTTGTTCAGTAGCCTAGGACTTGATGACACTTAACAACAAGAATGACATATCAGGATATGAGAGAATAATAGTAACTAGAATTCACCCTGAGACATTAAGACATTCCTTAAGAGTCAACATGGCTTAGTTTGTATTTACTGAATCCCTCCCTCCTGACATAAGCATAAAGTAAACAAAACTCCCTTCCTGATGATTCTCCATAAATACACAGAGAAGTATGGCTTGGGGGCTTCTGTTGAGAGAGCTGTTAGCCCCCCTCTCTTTTATGCTTTCTGTTTTATCTCATTCCTGGCTGTCTGTCTCATCATGAATAATTATAAAAATACTCGGTCTGCAACAGCACGTAAAGACCATTGGCGTGAATCAGGTGCACCTTAGTCTTTACACTGACATCATTGTTCTTCATGTCTTTCTTATTAACGGTCCAGCTTTCACACTACGTAGCAAGTGATTGGAAAGACCAGATGGAGTGAATCAGGTGCACCTTAGTCTTTACACTGACATCATTGCTCTTCAAGACTTTGAGAAAGGACTTTTTTGAGAAAAAGAAAGATCTTCCTCATCAATCTTGCATATCCTGGTGCAATAACCCTGGAGCACTAGTCAATAGGCCTTTTATTGTAAGAACTACCTTCCCTCTGTAACTTGATTGGTGCCAC